ATTATATTTTGACAAAATGCAATTTTTGTTAACATTTTAGTCAAAACACTATATTTGCCTTTTCTCCTGATACAACTTTGATTTAATCCTGGTTTCGATGTGTTAGGTCACACGTTAACAATCATTAATATAACAATATTAACTATATTCTGCACAGAAAATATTCTCATGTTGACTCTGAGGAATGGGTCAGCTGGGTTTTTAGTAAGGATGCACGATATATCAGCACTAATATTGTATCGGTCCAGTCCTGGTCCTTGTTCAGAATATCAGCGGGGGTACACATTACCTTTGGACAACATATTTTCATTTTGGACACCCACATCCTGTCTCAGTTCTCTGCCGCAGGTGTTCGTCATTGTGAAAATGATCGGGATAAAAAACTTGGTAAAACCAAACAGAACTCTAAACTGTAACTTTTAATAAGGTCACGTACACAGTTTACGCATATTTAAGTGAAAGTGTTTGACCTGTGAGCAGAAAGAAGATTATGAATGTTGAACTTTATTTCAAAGAAGAGAAAGAGGAAGTTTTATTGTCAACCTGCTGACTGACAACAGTTATATATAATAAACTTTGTCTACAGAACAATATACTTGGTAAATTACATTTTTCTTGAGATTGTTTTGGACAACCAGGTTTTGTCAACAGGCTGTCCGCTGGACAACCTGAAAATTTTCCTTATGTCTACCCCTGACCAGTATCGGTCTGATATGTAAAACTGGGCCGATATTAACGTCTGATATTGATTTTCTGTTTTTTATCTCTTTGTGTTTCTGTTTTGGGAGGACAGCTGGTTGGCTGAGTGCTATCTGATCAGGATAGTGATATTGATGCTGCAGCAGGAATAGGGTCATGTCAGGGGTCTGCTTGTTTATTTACTGTAACAAAGAAAGACCCAAGTGTGTTTGTGTAATATCATTAAATATTGGTTATCGGCAATAACAATATTATATTGGATATTGATATCGGCTGAAATTTTCATATCGGTACATCCTTAGTTTTTAGTGCTTTAGAGTTGACTTTTGCTAATTTTTAAGTGTGTTAGTGCTTTAGACTTACGGGACCTAAATGTTAAAGTTGGTGCAACTAATTTTTAGATTAGTGCTGCCCACCACTGCTGCTGCTTACCAAAATAAACCAACATTTATAGAAAAGATTTCTTTTGTAAAATATTTATTCTGCCAGAACAAGCCTTTAGAGTGAAGAGTAACACGTTCACCACAAAACCTCCTGCTGCGCTTTTTACTGCATCACAACACACAAACAAACAAATAATTAGGAAATAATAAACTCCAAAATATCGATTTTAGTTTGAAAAGCCACAGCGTCTGAGCCAATCACTGGGAAGATGTCAACAGAACGGCTGTCCTGATGCATCTCATCTAAACAGATAAAATGAGTTCATCCTCTGGATCTACTCAACCTTTAACTAAATGACTGATTTTCAAAATAAAATACCCGTATTACATACAGAGTTGGAATATAACTAAGTACAAATACTTTGTTACTGTACTTAAGTAGAATTTTTGGGTATCTGTAATTTAGTTGAGTAATTATTTTTCAGTGTACTTTTTACTTTTACTCATTACATTTTTACACAATTATCTGTACTTTCTTCTCAGTACATTTTTTAAAAAGATAAGAAGTATATAATATATAACATATATAATATAGTTTTTGGAGAAGTTACCTCCCAATAAATGTCATTTTGTAAAATCTAACTGCTCACTTTTACTCAGTACTTTTACTTTTAATACCTAAGTAGATTTTGTGTCAGAAATTTACTTTTGATACTTAAGTACAAAAAAGCAGATACTTTAAGACTTTTACTCAAGTAATATTTTTAGAGGACTTTTTTACCAAAGTATTTTTATGATTAGATACTTGTACTTTTACTCAAGTATCACTTTGAGGTACTTTATACAACACTGATTACATACATCCAGTGTTCAAAAAGTATTTTTAATTTGTACAAAATGATACGTGGACGGGTACTGGTCCGGGTCCCTGGGGACTGAGGTATGGGGGCCACTCCTGGCCCGCGGGCCGTATCTTTACTGACCTGAGGAAAATGCGTCAAAAGCCTGTGCGCGTGACCTGCCTGCGCGTCTAGACATGCAAAGACAGACAAACAAACACGCGAGGTCTCGTGCACGCACACACGCACGCGCACGGCCACTCACCGTGGCGGACGTCAGGCAGCTGTCCGTCAGCGTCAGGTGGTGCGGCTCCCACCTGCGCAGGAACTTGGAGGTGAGGATCTTGCTGAGGAAGGTGCGCGGGTGTTTCAGCACGCACACCTGGATGTCCCCCTCGTGCAGCAGCTTGTAGCGCATGCCGCCGCAGGGGTGGGGGCTCCTCCTGCACGGCCCCGGACCCGGACCTGGACCCGGCCCCGCGCCCACCTTGGTGTTGTTGCTCCCGGGCTCGGACATCTCCCCCAGGAGCGGCTTGCTCTCCTCGCAGGGGTAGAACTGGTTGTTGTGCAGCTCGTTGGCCCCCCCGCTGCCGTTAAAATCCATCTTATCACAAACAGAACCTTTCGGGTGGTTCTGGAGGAGGCGGGTTCCGAGAGCCCACAATAAAAAAGAAAACAGGCGGATAGGTCGTCCGGATCGAGCTGGTGGGGGGTGGGGGTGGGGGGCTACCTAGCTCCCAACACGACCTCAGACACCGACCCGACAGGCTCCGAACCGCCGCAGAACCGCGCCGAACCGCAGCTAATCCACCGACTGATCCAGCTGCTCGAAGCTCTGTAAACAATCCACCGATTTCCGGGCCGATCAGAACCGAGCCTCCCCCCCACCCCGCCGACAGCTAGCTCAATACGTTAGGGCCACCATGGCCTGGGCCGCTCCGTCCCGTCCGGAGCCGGGGGCAGTAATCCACAGCGGGCAGGGAACCGGCGGAACACGGAGGGACATCCAGCGGCTACGGTCCTCGGTCAGATCCGGAGGCCATTACGGGCTGGACGGGGCTTCGCTCGGCGTTTCTTCCTCCTGCTTCGCCTCCTTCTTCTTCGTGTGTCTCGGTGTGAAGAGGAGCCAGCGCTCTCCGGCTGCGGCGCGCTGATTGGCCTCTGCTCGGTCACGTGACGCCGGACTGACGTCAATGGGAGTCGAGCGGATGAGCGGTGTTTCTTTTGTG